CAACGAAGAAAAGAAAAATCACAACGTCCACATTTTAAAAATAGATAGCGTTGTGTATCAAAGCGTTGCATTGCTTTGCAGAAGAAAAAGAGAGAAAAAATCAAGTCAAGTTTCTCTTTGGTTGTTATATTGATCAAAAGGTTTCGCTTGCATCATAGCACACAATACAGAACCCGATTACACAAAAGAAACTTCTGCATGGAATGTGAACAAGTAAATCGTTGCGATGAATTAAACTGAGTACAGAGAAACGAACAACAATCTCGGTGCGAAGAATGCGATTGTTGAAATAAATCATTTCTTCTTCGTTTTTCTTTGCCTTTAATCTGTTATGACTGAGCTCTGACATACAAAACATAAATAAACCATTCGAATGATACGCTTTTACGACGGTGGCCGCTACAAATGTCAACAGTTAATGACCCAAAAGGTAATCCAGTTACAAATGACGTCTATCGATACAGCTATTAAATGGATCAAGAACTAAATCGCATTGGATTGTAAACAATTGAAAGAAGAACGTAAGCCTTGTGTGTATGTAAGAATGTATTTTGTGAGAGAATTACTAAAAGAGTTCAATGGCAAAAGCACAAAGGTACGATTGAAGATTTCTTTTCTTCAGAATATCCAAGGCCTTATGAATTTTCCAACTATATCAATATATCCATCCATTTCGTCTATCGTTTTTATTTTCATTTTTCCTTTTGTTCGTGTGGCAAAGTGAGCTGCTCAAAGCATCACAATCAATTCTTTGGACATGTTTGCTCTTGTTTACAATCGTTCGAATTCTTACGTGTGGATTTTCCCGCAGAGAAAAAAAAACGCATCAACGATTTATTGGTCGCAATACTGAAATGTTCGCCTTTTCACGTTTTGCTTCACGACTCAATGGCAAAATTGAGGGCAAAATGTAAATATTGAAAAAGAGCATACGTACAAAGTACACAAAAACCATTTTCGTGCTGTGAAATCAGCGCAAATAAAAAAAACCCATGAAATGCAAAATACAAAAAAGCGCACGGTACATGAACGCATAAAAACATAAACATATTGAAATGGTTTTTATTCGCTTCGTTCGATCTTTTCTTCGTTCATTCGTTCGTTCGTTCGTCTGTCAATTGTTCCGTTATGTTTTTCTGCCCTTTCTGTGCGAAGGTGCGCAGCAAACAAATATGCAGATCGTTCAATGCAATCGAGAGAAGAAGTGGCAGCCGAATGAAATCGTTGTAGTTTTTTTTTCTTCTCTTCTTCTATTTGTTTGTAGCAAATGCGATTGTGGATTTATCCTTGGTTCGAAGCACTTGGAAAATACTCGGTATTGGTGTTATTGGTTGCGATTTTTCTTCATGTAGACGAAAAAACGAGCGCTCCGTTTTTTTTTATTTCTGGGTGTGTGTATGCTGTCCCTTAATAACATAACACGTTTAGGAGACATCAAGCCAACAAAAGGAGAAATCGAATAAATTGTGCTGTTTGGTGAATCAGCTTTTTGAGTTGAGAAGGGAAGAAAAAGCACTTGTCACACTTGAATGATGATGTTCGGAAAGCAGCTTAAGTGAGAGAGCGAAAAACAATCGGTGAAATAGGAAAATGCGGTCGACGAAGAAGTGAAATCCGCTATTGGCATTGATGGGTATTGCGGATAAATGTTAGCTCTCTCTCTTTCTCGCGCGCACGCGCGCGCGCTCTTCATTTCATTCTCCATCTCTTTCGATTTTTTTCACTCGCAAAATCTCAAAAAGCTGCTCTTAAGCACATTGAAGATCAGCGCAACAATGCACACAAATCTTTTGTTGAATTGAAAACATCGTGCCACTAGCAATAGCCGAACGCTACCAATAAACAAACGCAATAACAGATGGAGCAAGTGAGAATTGACAAATCCATTTCTTATGCAATTCATTTATATCTTCGGTGCTACGGATGTTGATGTTGTTGTTATTTCTTTCATTCTTGGCTGTTGCTCTTATTGACTCGGAGTTGCTGGGTCGCTGTAGAAACGAACACAGGTTTTTCACTTCGTTCGTATTACATATTCTAATAGCCAATTCAGTGGCATTTTGGTCTTCGTTTATTCATTTGGTGCTTTTTTTGCTTCATTGGATAGCGACGCGATTTTCGTTTGTAAATCGGTTTGCATCTACCGTACAATTTCAATGATATGTTGAAGTATGAATGTGTAGCATCTGATGGGAGAAATAGAAAACGAATGTCAAATGCCTCCAAACCAAACACACACAAACTCACAGCTTGGTAAAGTGGAATGGCTCTTACAATACAGTCAGACTTATTTTCGCACTGAAGCGCTCCTAAATCACGTTCATTTTTCATTCTTGAGTGACAAGCAATAAAGGCAGCTTTATTAAATGATACCAATCGCCTTTTATATTCATCTATTTCTTTTCTCAATGTTTTCTTTTTCTCTTATCTTCACTCGGTCGTCTCGTTCGGACCCAAAGCTCAGGGGAAGCGGCTGTATGCACGGTCCACTTTGTAGTAAAATGCGCTAATGTGCTAATACACTAATTCGACTTAAACCGAATTTCGTTGAGAGTTCCGTTTGTACACATAAACAAATATGTATGGATTGTAGAATGTACATTGACAACCATGGGTTCTATCTTCTTTCGAAAGGAAAATATTCTGTGTCATGAGATGTCTCATGACATTTTGGTTTTCAAGCACCGAGTGTCGCTTCCATTTGGTCATGCAATTATTTTTCCGTCGTATCAAAAAGAAACGTCCCATATTCGATGGCAATTCAGTTGTCGAACGTGAAATCTCACACCAAAACGGAGAGTAGCAACAACAACAGCAAAAATTAAATTATTATTAGACGTAGCATGTGATTAGATGCAAGAATGGGCACTCCAAGAGAAATGAAATCTCCAAACGAAAGCATCTTTGAACCTCAATAGAATTCATCGCTTTTTTATGGCAGTAATTCGAATGAAAAATCGAAATATGAACATCTATAGATTCGCTCTTTTTTTTAATTTGCTGCGGGAATTTGTGCTTCAAGTTTTTTCGTCGGCTTGATCCTGTATCGTATGCAAGAAGGAGAAAAAAATGAAGCAATGAACCATCACCATCATTACGAGAAACGAAAAATGCCTATGTGATATGGGATATGGCCACCGATATGCGGTGCACTGTTTCGCCACACGAAACACGATTGCTTTCCACGGATATTCACATTTTCATACGCCAACCGGGAATTGGTTTAATAAAATCGAATCGGGCCCAATTAAAAATATGCTAATTTGCTGCCTGTCTCTGCAGACCGATCTGTAGTCAAATTACATATCAAACGGAATTTTCTTTGCGTCGTAAAATTCGAGAGGACTTTCTATGTCAAACATATCATTTGGCTATCTACTGCCGTCTGTAATTTGAATTCGATCTACGAATCGAATTTAATGACGACAATCGCTGGCAACAACTCAATCTGATACATTTCGAATGCAAAAAACTCTTGTACATGCATCCTTTTGAATGCCCGATGCTCTGTTGCATACTTTACGCAATTTCTATAATTTTATTGACATGCAATGATTTGCGTTTCGTTCAATGTCTCTGTAATTAAATGTAATTTCCAGTGCGATCCATGATTTTATACTTTATAATGGATGCAAATGATTAAAATTAAGTTTGTATTGATTACATACTGGCAAAAAATGAATTTGGATTGTTCCGAACTATTCATAAGTTTGGACACGCGCGATGAAATGCATTGTTTGTATATTTTGTCTTTTGTTTTATTTGTTTTCATTATTGTCTGTTTCCAAAATTTTGCATATGGGCAGATTTTCAATGGGTTTTTCATAAGTTTGGACACGCTGTGTTTCATACTGTGCGCAATTCATTTGGAACTTGACGTTTAAAATCAACGTTATTCGAGTTGCTTCTGTTTGTAAGTTGGACTTTTGGGTAAATTTACTAAATTCGAACGCGTCCACTGAAACTGTGAAAAACCGCGACAACCCGCCAAAAACAAACATATATTCTTTTAACCACTATTAGTAGCAATGAAACATACTTTTCTTTATTGCTACGAACATGGACCAACTTGCGTTATTTTACGTCTCACTAATAGAACTGTCATTCAAATCAGGCAACATGATATAAATTGCAGGATGACGTAACCGGCGTTCTTGAAAAAATTGGCGGAAAAAATCAGTATTTGTTTCCAGTTGATTGGATGACATTTTGCTCCCAAAGGATTTTTCTTGTTTCTTCTATCTACTATGCATTTTACATCATTTTGGACGTCATCAAATTCACTTTTAATATATGTTTTTTTTATAAAAAAGGAATGCGGTGAGCAAACACAACCAAAAACGTCAAAAATACGAATGGCTTCAGTGCCAGTTGACGCGTTATTTAACACAAAGGTATATCAAAGTGAATATTTCTTGTCTATACACATTAAACAGTGAAGAAAATGCGGTGGTATTGATACATATTTACGTCATCTCTGTGAATTTCAATCAAATATGCTCTCTTTGAAATGCATTGTGTTTTAATTACTTTGCGACGAAAAGCGTCTAAAGTTGATTTTATTTTTTAACTTTCGAAATTTCATTTTAAAAAATTCCCCATTATTTTGCAATTCAACATTTTGCATGTAAAGAAAATAATTGATATACATATAGAGAAAAAAGTTCGAGAAAATTTCGTGGGCATGGAAACAAATTCAATGTGTAGAGCTACTTACAACATCACGCATCATCGACATTGCTCTGAAAATTGTCTTTCTGTTTTTCATAGCCGTTGTTTTTCACTTTCAGCGAACTGAATACAAATATCTGGTTTTATTTCACGAAAGCGAGAATTTTTCGTTTTTCTTCATATTCTCGTATTCGAATATTTTGATGAACGAACCAAAAAAAAATAAAGTTTTGTGAATACTGCTTGGGATCATGATAATATGTTCTGTGTTAGTTTTTGGCTTGTTTCAAAAGTACGAAGTAAAATTTGCTCATGTTTTGTCATTTTAGGTGTCTTGGGTACGTCGGAAAGGTGATGAACTCAATTTGATAACTTTTGGCCGCCACACGTACAGCAGTGATTCGAGATACTCGCTTGAATACATTGCACCAAATGACTGGCAACTTTTGATCCAATATGCGAATGAACGAGACGAAGGGCACTACGAATGTCAAATATCATCGCATCCGCCGTTGGTGCTTCTGGTTTATCTCACGGTTGTGGGTAAGTGGCAAACGACATTTTATTTCGCGGGAAAGCGGGACAGAGGGAGAGAAAAAAGTAGAGAAAGCATAACAAGCGTGTGTTGCATTGTTATGTCAATAAATTCGGTGGGATACGTTTGGTTGTCAGTTTTTTTTTCGGTCAGTTTGCACTTGACAAACGAGAAATCCGTTGTGTTGTGTTGTGTCACATCAAATAAATTGTTGAGATTCCATTAAGATAACACTCAGCAGTTTTCATTGGATTACTTATTTTCAACATTATTTCCGTTGTTTGTGCTTTGGTCATTCTTATTTACATACATTTTTTCTTCTTCCTCCGTTTGTTTGTACACTCTTCAGCATACAATGACTCTCTTGTTATTCAAAAACAACGACAAAATCCAATTTTCCGTCGGATTTATGTTTGATGCTTCGGGATTCTTTGTTTGTTGGTAACCAGCAAATGCTTTGAATACGTAATTTACGGCCAAACATTTCATATACATATAAATTTCTCTGACACACTTCATTCCTGGAAGATCGACAACAAACAGATGTAAGCAGCAAAAAAGGTCATAACACATCCACATAGAAAATCCACTTTAACATGGGTTTGAAAGCGTATAAATTGAAAGTTCCATTCCTCCCACTTTATTCGGCTTTATTTTTGGAACATGAATTTTCAAATTTCGACTGCAACACTCAAATCTCAAACACATTCAACGGGAAACACAGATTGGGAGAGATTGAGTGGATGAAAAACCGGCTTGAAGAACAGCAAACGGCCAAATAAATAGAGATGCATGATTTTTTAATAGAGCTGGATAGATCTCGTACCGCTTTTCCCACTTTTTTTCCCCTACTCTCGGCCATTTGCTACTTTACGAGGTCATAAAAAAGCTTTTTTTTATTTGGATGGATGATGGCAGTGATATATACACACATTTTTTTGTGCTGCATCCAGAATGTACTGTCACGAGGGAATGAAAACCTGTCAATAAACGGACAAAAATGATATTTTCGCTTTTTTCTGCTTTGGTTTTTATGCATCCCGCTCTTATATTGAATTGAAACGACACTTTTTTATTTATTTTTATGCTTTATTTAGCAAGATATTTATATTAAAGTGGATTGCTCATTTTGAGGAAAGATGACACAATAAAAAGGAGCACGAACCATCCAAAAAAAATGTCATGTTCAATGCTCATTTATGATCATATCTACCGTCATTTTTATGGGCACCTGTGCAATTTTAGTGACTTCCTTCTTATTTTGCATTGTTTCCTTTAAAAATCGCTAAAAAAAAGTGCATAAAATGCGTCCTAAATATGGGTCGTACCTGAAAAATCCAAGTAAATTCCACAAAAAATATGGTTTTCAAACAATTTCGCCAAATGTTTGCTATAAAATCGTTTTTCAGACAAAAAAGTTTCATTTATTGTTTTAAAATTACATGTGTTTACATGTGCATCGGACAAGATGTATTTTTAAATTTAGAAAAATGAAAATACTCCTAAAAATCGGGTTACTTTTGCTCACATTTTATTATATAATTAAACTGAAGGTTGAAAACAATTCAATCAATCAATCACATCGTTATTCAACTGATTTGCTTTCTTTTGCAGTGCCATACATTGTAATAGACGATGACAGAGGCGTTGCGACACCGGAGAAATTCTACAAAGTAGGCAGCACCATTGAGTTGAAGTGCATCATTGATAAAATACCGAATCGCTCAAGTTATGTGCTATGGAAGCATGGCGAACGAATGCTCAACTACGATACGAGGTAAGCATAGTTGAAATCGCAAATATATACGTATAACAATCGACTAATAATATACGATAACTTTTTTCTCCTTCCAGTCGTGGTGGAATTAGGTAAGTAGAACCGTTCATATTGCATATTTTATTTTACTCTTTATCAAACCCGTTGGAATTTTTATCCGCGCCATAGCCTGAATTGTTGTGTTTTTTTCGTAGCAGCATAAGCTGCATTGGAATTTTTCATTAAAATTCTTCATTAAAATTCAAGAAACACCGCCAAAAGCTGTTGAATGGGAAGCAATTCCAAAATCAGGTTAATGATAAATTTTAGGTTCGATTTTTTCGCTTCGCCTCGAATTTGAATCCGGATTGGAGTCAGGAGTTTTTCCACACACATTTTTATATAATTGTCATTAACGCTCTTAAATGTGCTTTAATATTCTTTCTCTGGGAAATTTTATGGGATCGCATCCGCAAAGCGAGTTCATCGTCAGAATGATGGGCGCGCATGAAAATTTCGAACAATTGTTTAAATATAACAATAAAAGCGATACTTTGCACCATTTTATTGCCCGGTAAAATGCAAATTGGACTGAACGAAAAAAGGAATGCCGGAAAAGTGATTTAAAGTACTTGTATGCCAAACACACCAGATATATAATTCCATGTGCCACGCTCAGACGATAATTTGCCGAATTTATGAAATTTTGTGCAAATTTATTTTGCGGTTGGTATTTTATGGGAACGATGAAAGTCATAAAAGGCGCAAAAGTTGTTAAATGGCTCTCTGGTTTGTGCTTTTTTCTCTTTCTTTCTTGTTGTCTCGTTAAAACTTCGTTTTGCCCTGTTTCGTGCAATGTTTTTGCTATTGGGCAAACGTTTGTTTTATTACTGTTTGGTTTTTCAACTGTTCCCACAAGTTCGCGGCTGGAGAGGATGAGAGATTCTTTTTTATGACAAGCAAAAAAACCATCACCAACAAATTTACGCTCATTTTGTCGCTGACACCCAAGTGTTAAAGTGACGGAAAAAGTGCGACAGCAAATAAAATAGAAGTGACGACGATGACGATGACTACAGCAATGACACACGGTCACACAAAAATACCGCATCAAGTGTAATGCATGCAAACCATGTTCGGGTGAACTTTTGTTCGCAGTGGCATTATTGTTTTGCCTCTCTTTTTATTTCGACCGCATTAAGAGAAAGCGTGCAAAAATGCCTTGTCCATACGGGCGCCGCTCGTAAAGCGTCCAAAAGTAACTTTGTTGTTTTTTTTTCGTATACGCGATTCACAACTTAAACAACTGGCTACTTATGAATTCATAATTTTTTTGTCTTTTCAACAAGTCACCCGGTCTTTTTTTGCGTGCAGTGGCTCAAATATGAATCGTTTGTTACCGTTGAACTTTTCAATGAAATATAATATATACAGTAGACATTCGAAAGTGTCGTATGTACAGTGCGCTTGTTTTCATTTTTGAGAATCAACCAATTTTCCAAATCATTCACAAACGTTTCACGACTTTTTAACATTTTAGTATAATATCATCGATCTTTCACGTGGGCAATGTGTGGAAAGATTGTTCGTAAGTATCTTTTATTCCATTGTAAGATGTCGTCAAGTGTGCTTTGTCAAGATGATCGAGAGCGAAACTGAAAAAAAAACGATTTTAAACGGTACAATTGGCAATTATCATTCTCCCGCAACATGCTCTCGCTCGATTTTATCAAAGTGCAACCGTAGTAGTAATTGTACTGTGTTCTTATCCAACCCTAACATCCCAAGAGTAAAAATATGCTGGTATGCATGCGACGCAAAACCACATCTACTTCTAAAGAATTTACTCAAAACCCAGTCAATATAAATGAAATAAATTCCTATGGAGCTGATGATGTACGGTTACGTACGTTGTAGAACAAAAATTTACTGAGTTTCCAACTTCATGCATGCTAAATATATCATCTTTGCATTTTCCATGGATAACTATCCATTTGATTTGCGATACAGACTAAATGTTTTGAATGTACATAGACTGAGGATGCAACCAATTTAGCCGGTTAAGCGCGCAGCCGACTAACTATGATTGTATTCAAGCCTATCGTTCGTCCAAAACTTTAGCAACAACAAAAAAGAGAGAAGAAGGTCGCAAATTAGCCGATGAACCACTCAGTTAATGTTTTTTTTCTGCACCGGGCCATGCTATTACATCAAAGGTTTTGTAGACAAAATTTGATTTGCCGAATTCCATGAATTTCGAGTGTCCACTGTACGAACTCCGCATTACATTGTACATATTTTCATGAAGAAATGTTCAACAACTGTAATGCGAAAAGGTTAGTCTTAAAAGCGGGGCTAATTTTTACGTTCGAAACTTTTACAATTTTTTCGTCCGTATATTCTTCTTGGATTTTGCCCATAAATTGCAAATGGTGTGCTGTGTTTCTGTGTTTAACAGCGTTTGCATCATATCAACTGACTGTACAGTACCTAATTTGAATAGTGTTTTCCAGTGCGAACGCATTCGAATGGAAAGAAAAACCATCGGGAACAAGTCCCATCAATTTGAGAGCCAGCCAAATGTAATCAAGCGTAATAAAATGAAAGCAACAGCAAACATAAAGAAAAGAACACAAAACCCACTGACTAAAAGCAAAAGTATATTCCTATTACATGTTTGCCAGCATACTATATTGAGTGTGCGTCGAGCAGGTCGAAAGCAAACACACACAAAGCCAATCATCTGCGTGTGTATGTTTGTGCTGTTGAGCATTTGACGTCATTGTGCGCATTTAAAATGCAAACTTTTATATTGCACAAAGGGGATCGTAAATTACCTTAAACGATTCCATTTTCGTTTTGTTTGTTGCGGTTATTTTTCGTTCAACTAAACAAATACACACATACACACATACATACTACCTAAATTGATATGATACTACTATTTTCCATCAGATAAAGTGCGGATTTTCCATTCATTCGGATAAATGAAATCTTTTGTTTTCGACATTTTTAGTAGAAAAAAAAACAAATGAATTCCACCAGATCAAATTTGTATACGAACGATCCCAATTGAAGCGATAAACCGTTTGATGCGTTGCCAGAGCGAGAAAGAGCGAGCAAATGAATTCAGACTAAGAGCGAAAGAGAGCCATGGAATATACGGCCTCAATTTATATGAACACAAGATAAAATAACGCATTCAAAAGCCTATTATTTTAATTGAGGTAACGTGTGTGTGTCCGAGTAAAATTCACATCGAACCACCACAACAACAAAAAAGGGGAGCTCGTTCAACAATAACAACTAACGTTCGCTTTTTTACTATGTTCATAACATACAAGTTCGTTGGAAATATACATTCCCCATGTCTTTGTAGGCATTTTTGTTGTGTGTCGTCGTTTTTTTTCTATCTTCTGCTTTTTCATTCTTTTCTGCCAATTTTGTCGAAAGCAACATTTTTTTTGCTCCGACAACACACAGGAGAAAGGAAAAAAAAATACTCGTTTGTGGTTACCGTTGTATCTAGTTTTCCATCTTCTAGCCACTTTAGTTGGGTTACATTCGCCTTCGGGGAGATATAAAAACCAAATAGCAAACGCAAAGCACTCTTTACGTACACAAATTACTCGCATTTTCCATTCCACTGTGAACGATGGTAGGTTGTTTGAACATTACATGCCTTTTAATGCAACTTTCATTTAATGAGAAAAAAAACAACGACGGCCACTTTCAAATACTTTGAGAAGACCATATTTCAAAATAAAAAACGGTTCAAGCAAAGAAGAGGAAAAAAACGGACCAAACAAGAATGCGGTTACAAAAATGTTGTTACAACAATGCAAGGTCAGGCCGGATTAAAGGTGGAAGCTAAACAGAAGTTACCTATCACAATGCATTTTGTATTTGTGTTGGAAAAGTTTTGGAATTTCCTGGCGCCCATCTCTTGGCTTCCACTATTCGGATTTTATACGATTTTGGTTTTGATATGTTCAATCGTTTGAAGTTGGTTCAACAAAAAAAAATTTCAATCCTTTTCAACAGAACAGACAATGAAAGGAAGCTTCCTTTGCCACTAGTGGCATAATGTCGACATAGAAAAATGTCAATAAAATGCTCAAATTCGATATAACATCAAATGATCCACTCGAAAAATTGTAACATTCGTTTAAAAGATTTGTTTCAATGGCTTCTCCCATCCGCCAGAACCGTTTATTGACGGCTCAGCATTTTAAGTGTGTTGTTCACATGTAAAATCATAAGATTTCATATTTTTTCTAGCATTGTTGCCGCTTAAAATGAATTTATTGAATTTTCTACGCATAAGTGAGTGGATAACCATTGCCATAGACAATGAAGGAAACAAAGACATGAGAAATAAATAGCAATAAAAGTTTTGCAGACACTGGTGGGAATGAGGCATTGTTGCTGACTGTGAATGCGACTAGCGAGGCGAGGCGAGGCTCGGCGAGGCGAATGAACGATGAACAACATAAAAAGCTCTTAGATTAAATTAGGCCGGATTTAGACTCCAATTTCACATTCGTATAATTTTCCACATTATTATAAGCATAATGCATATCCCTTGAAGCGTTTGCCGCTTCTTCCGACTTTTTCTCTATCGCTCTCGTTCTCGCTCGCGCCGGCAGATCGATGGCTTTGAAGGCAAACACCAGAACGCACAACACATTCAAAACCCACAGCGAAAAACATTTGAAAAAATGAGGTCAGACAGATTTGCAGAGAAGACGTTTTTAATAATCATAACAATAATTTAAAGAAATATTTTTTTTTTTCGTTTCTCTTCTTATTAATAATTTGTGTTTGTGAAAGTGGCTCAAAGGCGTAGCCAGATGATTTCGCATTTTGAGCACGAGGCAAAAACAAATATACATTAATGAACAGAAAATAAAAATGGAGTGAATAAAAGCGAAATAACTGAATCATAATGGACACCAATAAGTATGTGAATATATTCGTTGGCCACATTTTTGCTCGTTTATAACATTTATTGCCATTTTGTCTTTTGTGCTGAGAATTCTAACTGGATTAAATGGCGATTCTGAGAAGCTTTCTGTTGGAGGTACGGACAATAATATGCTTAACATGGACA